GCAAGGATCTCTACAAGGACGGGATGATTGGGAACCAGCAGCCCCTCAGCTCACTGGGTAAGATGAATTTTAATTATAGTAATGGTTGTTTACCCAACTGATGATATCAGAAACATTATTGCAACCTTGGCTATGTTTCAACCACGACTCCGGCTTTCCCAAGCTATCCTTTAAGGAGGGTGCAGGGTAACTGAATGTATAATTTAGATATATATATTTGACGGACCGCCTGGCACGCCGACTGGGTACCTCCACCAATCGATGCTTCCTAGCTGTCACTGAGTACCATAAGCACCTCACCGGACACCATAAGCACTGTAACCCCTTAGCCACCGCAGCTTGGCTGGGGTCTCGCCTTCCCTTTCCACCCTGGACAAAACTCCTGGATCCAGCTCACAGAGCGGTGGGTGGGGGCCCTAAAAAAAAAAACAATAAGGGGAGGGGGCCTACTGTCCTCCCCCCGGCCCCTATCCCTGAGTGGTGGGTGGGGGCCCTAAAAAACAATAAGGGGGGGGACCTACTGTCCTCCCCCCCCCTCACCCCGGAGCGGTGGGTGGGGGCCCTAAAAACAATAAGGGGAGGGGACCTACTGTCCTCCCCTCGGCCCCCACCCCTGAGCAGTGGGTGGGGGCACTAAAAAAAGCAATAAGGGGGAGCCCCAAAAAAGGCCAAATAAAAAGCCATCGGGCTAATTCTTGTTCAGAACAATTTAGGAATGTTTAATTTCAAGATGCTTTTAGTCAGCAATTCTTCTTTCTATGTGGACTTTGGTTGTTCAACCAATGTGTTCTTGTTCACCTAAGCTTTATGGCAATTGCATTATATTTAAGTTGTCTAACTTTATTTATCTCTTTGCTAATTACATTTTTATATGTATATAGTTTCTATATTTGTATAGATTTCTAACTTAGGATATATCACACTATATTTTTATTTTTATATATAATTAAACTTCATTTATATACATCATAGCGATATATGTGTGTTTGCTGAACACATACTTTTAATTAACACATACTTGTCTTATCCTTTATTGACACCGATGTATTTACCCACTGTCTGGCTCTTTTAGCTGACAGGGTCACCCTTTGAGAAAAAACATCTTGTTTCTTCATTTTAGCACCTCATGGCATATTAGCTAAATTGCGTTTTTGCTATTATGCCTGTATTATTTCTATCACATTATACATACATATTTCCTTCCTACACAATATCTCTGACAGCATATAACTTTCCCAGGGGTTCATATAGCTCATGAACCTCTGAGAAAGTTACTCTGGGTATCGACTACACTTATTCAGAGCTGTAGAGTCTGTACACAAAACCGTTGACACTGACACCTTATAATATAAGCAGTCCGAGTTGGTGGTACCATTAGCAGTCAAAGGTTTTGTGTACAGACTCCAAAGCTCTGGTTATGATAAACAACAAAAATCAACATAGCACATGATATCTGATTAATAAAAAATATTGTTTGTATATTCCGTTTTAACAGATTTGTCCAGGAACAAAAGATCATCAGCATTTCAAACATTTACAATGTTTTGTAAACCAAATAGAGGCAATGGTGTGTTAAATTTTTCTCTCTCAAGTGAAGAAGGTAATTTTAACGAATTTTATAAAGCCACAGAATATCCATCTACTCACATTAAAGAGGAGCCAGCCTTGTATGAAGAAGGAAATCTCACAGACCTTTATAAACCCATAGAACATACCCAAATAGAATATCCATCTATTCGTATTAAGGAGGAACCAGATTCATGGGAAGAAGAAAATGTCACAGACATTTATACAGTTGCCGAACATTCACAGGCAGAATATCCATCTCTTCATATTAAGGTGGAACCAGATTCCTGGGAAGATGGAGATTTGAGAGATATTTATACACCCACCAAACATACACAGACATCTACTCATATTAAGGAAGAACCTACATCATGGGAAGAAGAACATTTCGCAATCATCTATGCACCTGAAGAAAATCCACAAACAGAATATGCAAATATTACTGAGGAAGCATCCTCATGTGAAGTAGGAAATCTGACAGACATTTATACATCCACAGAACTTTCTAAATGTGCAATTTCATTTACTTGTAAGCAAACTCCTGAAAAGCATCTCCAAATTCACAGAGGAGTCAAACCATATTCATGCTCGGACTGTGGGAATTTTTTTCGCTACCAATCTGAGCTTGTAAAACATCAAAGAATTCACACAGGAGAGAAGCCCTATTCGTGTCCTGAATGTGGGAAATGCTTTAGTCGCAAAGATGTTCTTGTCAAACATAGAAGAATTCATACAGGAGAGAAACCATATGCATGCTCCCAATGTGGAAAATGTTTTGGTCAGAAAGTTGTTCTTGTAAAACATCAAAGAGTTCATGCAGAAAAGAATAATTTCTACTGTTCTGAGGATGGGAAGCGTTACACACAAAAGTCATATCATGCATTCCATACTACGGTTCCCACTGGGATTAAACCCTATTCCTGCTCTGACTGTGGGAAAAGTTTTAGGAGAAAAGATGTCCTTGTGAAACATCAGAGAACTCACACAGGAGAGAAACCATATTCTTGCTCTGAATGTGGGAAATGTTTCAGTCAGAAAGTAGTTCTTGTAAAACATCAAAGGGTTCACGAAGAAAAGAAAATTTTCCCTTGTTCTGAAACTGCGAAGCGTAATACACAAAAGAAAGATCATACATTTAATGCTTCTGTTTCCAATGGAGAGAAACCATATTCTTGCTCTGAATGTGGAAAATGTTTTAAGCGGAAAGACGTCCTTGTGAAACATAAGCGAGTTCACACAGGAGAGAGACCATATTCTTGTGCTGAATGTGGGAAATGTTTTAGTCAGAAAATTGTTCTTGTAAAACATCAAAGAGTTCATATGGCAAAGAATATATTTTCTTGTTCTGAATGTGGGACATGTTTTACACAAAAGTCAAATCTGGTTTCACACATGAAAATCCATTCTTAATCGAAATCCATATTAATTCTGTGTTATTTTCTAGACAAAAAAAATAAGTCTGATCAGTTGTCTCTAGACACATAGAAAGAAATTCGTCTTCTTTAAATGAACATGTTGTCAATAGATCACAGGATGGCGTCTCTCTGTTGAAGATATGTGTGGAGACAGCAAAGTTTGACACGTGCTCACTGGAACACATAGTGTATAATGCCTATATGAACACAATAAAGTGTGATAACCCTGTCCAAATAAAGTGTTCTGTTGCCATATTAGCCAGGTGTTGTAACATTAACACTGCTGCTTTCTATATGCTTTTGTCCATGGTTTAATATCAGGAGGTATATTCCATGGGAAGTATTGAGTTAGCTGGCCCTAGCTTTGCTTTCCAAATGGTTCAATACTGTAAGAAAAAGTTTCCAATTGATTTAGTTACAGATCTCACCATTACGTCTATGGAAATTTTATGAGTTAAATCATTTGGAAAGTTTTCTAACAGTATTCAATCTTTTGAAAAGGTTAATAAATCAAGGTAACTGTTACTACCATTTTCTTTGGATGCTACATATGGCATGACCCCCTTTGGTAATTTTCTCAAAGTGTTCTGGTTTGAATATTGTGTTGCGGTTTAGTAGCTGCATTGATTTGATAATATAATCATCTCAGAGAAGCCTAACTAGATCCAAAATGGATAAAGCATTTGTGCATGTAAAAATACAACAGAGGGAGCCAGACACCAGTGTTAGTGTAGCATCAACTTAATTACCATTCAGTATAAGGATCCCACTTTTATCTACTTGGACGAAGCTTTTCTAAAATATGGTAAGAGAGAAGAAAACTAATCATAGTGTAGTAAGTACATTTATTATAGAAGAACTAAGAATAACAAACTCACAGGAATACAAGGAGTTTTGCAAATAAAGAAATGCCCCTTGGGTTTAATCCCACACTCTTCCTGGAGGGTAACCATCTCTTTAACATCCAGAATCCAAAGTTTCAGTAAATATGATTGGTCGTTCTCCAACAAATGAGTAGCTTGTAAATAGCTCAGCGTGTTTTGTCCCATCAATCTTCACACTTCCTCAAGAGCTGTCTTCTGCTTCAGCATTTAAATACCCTGTGTCTTCGCTCCCTTGTGGTCCCGCATTTAGGCATCTTGGCACTGACTCCCAATACGTCATACGTCTTTACACCTGGGGTAGCTGGACGTGCATACTCTATCCAGCATGAAGCGCAAAATAATTTTATTGAGACTTTCGATCTCGCTTCTTTAGCCCAAATATATTATACCTTTTTTAAAACCAAGTATAACAAATATAAGTTAATATAAAATTCACCATATTCATTGTAGATCAATGTAAAACTATGTTATTCAAACAACCTTGATATATCTTGATAATCAGATCTGAAAATATGTAAAATAATGTTAAAAATAGGTGGATTATAAATACATGAATCATAAATAACTGTTAAAATCTCTGTGTTTATATGTATATTTAAAACCAAATAATTGAAATCTCGATCCATGAATGCGAATAAGGCCTAACAATACTGATTTTTTTTTAATTTAAAAATTCAATCATTACCTTTCTTAGCTAGGACTTTTTCAGTATCTCCTTCTTTCTAGTGTGTAATTACTCTGTTCCAATGCAGACAAAATATTAAAAATGTTAATTACTGCAGTGTGTTAGGGACACTGAGTTTCACGTTCTTCCTATTTATGCCATTGAAATGTTCCATGAATTTGTCATGCCTTTTTCTAATAGTCCTACCGTTATACTGAATGCCGAACGTGCATTGTAATAAGTAAACAACATTTTTGCTATGACCATTAATGAAAATATTAATTTAAAAAGTTTCTCCTGTGATAAAACTCTTATAACTGGATTTACAGGTTATACAACTTCCACATTTGTAAAAACCTTTTGGCTTCTCTTTAAAATTGGATAATGCACTTGGTGCTAAGATCATTTTAACATTTTCAGTTTTCTTATAAATTATTCTAAGCTTGTCAGGTAAAATCCAATTTAAAATCTTATGCTTTAAAGTAATTCAGTGTTTTGTTATTAGCTTTTTTTTTTTTTTTTAAATCAAATTAGCCTTGCTATTATATTTGATTAAAAATGATATTTTGGGCGGAGCCAAGCAGCCCGGACGTGCAGGCAAGAGCTCTCACGTCTGGGGACAGAAAACAGGGAATTACACCCAGCCACTACTCCCTACAACCCGCAGGCCAAGATAATCATAACCGGGAGGGGCCGCTGCACCAAATGGTACCTCTCCCGAGTACCGGCACAGCCAACTGGACACATCGAGGCCCGCTGCCTACCCGCGACCGCGCCACGGGGAGACGGCGGCTCCCCGGGCACGAAAACAGACTGGACAGTGGGGGTTATCCCAGTCCACATAACAGAGATGAATACCCGACACACGCTACAGACAAGCGAGAGCCACGAGGCCGGACAAAAATGGCCGGCTGCACCAATGCACAGCAGCAGACTCCCAGCGACTGGGTGGCGGCCTCCAGTGCGAGGTTTGAAGCAATGTGGGAGAGATTCTGGGCTCAACTAGAAAGCACACACAAGCCTTCCAGGTCATCACTGGTCCAGAGCACCTACGGCAAAGAAATCAGCAGAGGCTGTACACCCTAACCAGCCCACGACTGGGTCAAGAAAACCTGAGACAAGCCACAGCACCCGCGAGGCGTACTCACACCCAGTCGGGCCAGAAAGCACCTCCTGCCATCCAACAGAACTCCAGAAAATGCAGAGTCCCCAGAAATACCTCCAGGAGGAACAGACCCCGGCAAGCCCAGCGCATGGGTGCTCAACGGAGGAAAGGCCTACGTATGCCACACCCCTAGCTTACACACAAGTATGCACACCAATTGGCACAGAGGAGATCTTTCCCCAACAGACTGTGCCGCAGGCATCTTTGACACAACCAGCCCAATAGGGCTCCAACGACCACCCTGGGCTACACCCGATCCCTGCGACCGGTCTGCGGGCGCTGAGATCTGGAATCGGCTAAGCGATTACCCTAATCTGGCTACTGGAGCCCAACACCTACTCTGGGTTCCATTGGGACGCTAGCTGACCTTGCCTACACTGCGGACATATATAACAACAGACATCAGAGGACTCTATTTATTGCAAGAAAGCAAAACATACCTTTATTTACTTCATGTTGCATCTATTGTTGTACTTAACTTTCTGTAGCTCTAAATCTGCCCCATAATTGCAACTACACACTAGGTGCACAACTAGCCCCACAGTCGATAACTATCCACTATGCCCAATGTCCTAGTAGTGCAACGTACATGTAGCAAGCTATTTAACTCAGCATACACTACAATCCATACCAGAGAATAGCCTCAAAATCTTGCTTCCAAGGTTGGTCCATCAGACCTACCCGTGAGACCACTAATCTATCGCCTTAAAGGCCAGGAGGGCTCTGCTTACCCATAAGCCCAACTCCCATACATAAGTTAACAAACCAGCCTGCTGGGAGGAAGCACAATGTAATGTGTTGCTAACCTATGTCAGCCATATCTATATATAACTTGTAAACATACCTCTTGCTATTGCAACTCGCTATCACTAAGCTTCCGACTCACTCGACTATGTTCGTCCTATCTTAACCATATTTTCAATCTACGTTTAAAGCCAAAAGCTTAAGCCTGATTAAAACATAAAATTGTACATGTTAATCTTGTGCCCTGCATGTTAACCGTGGGATAAGCTGGAGGACTGCCTTTGGGGCACCTCTTGCCTGCTTGTGTTATATGCCTGAACTGCAAAAATTAAGAATTTAAAAAAAATGATATTTTGAAATTACCATCAGACCTTCCATTCTCCTTTTTATCTTGTAGCAGTTCTTCCCTTTCAAAATTTTCAACCTGGTTTTGTGTTTTAATCAAAAGATCTTCAGGGTAATGCCTACTTAAAAAACGTTTAATTTTAAGCCCGTACTTGTTCTTTAAACTTTTTATTTTCAATACAGTCCCTAAAAACCCTAATCTATTGGACCTTTAACCAATATGGATGACGGCTGCTGGAGTATTCAATAAAAACCATTCCCATCCAAGGGAATAAAAAATAAAATATTCCCATCCAAGGGAAAAGACAGAATCAGGTGCAAAGAAAACAGGGTAATTAAATGCCAAAGCAGAAGGGAGAAGTCAGTTCCTGAGGAAGTTCGAGGATTAGACAAAACTAGGCGACTCGTTTGCAGAGAACGACTGGCCACATACATTGGAACTTTGGAGTCTGGATGTTATAGAGAGTCCATGTAGCATTGCTTTATTTGCACAATCATTCCTGTGAATACATTTTTATTCTCATTTCTTCTGTAATAAATGTAATTACTACACTACGATTAGTTGTCTTCTCTCTTCCCATATATGATAAGATATTTTGTCCAAGTGAATCCATATTAAAGTGGGATCCTTATACTGGTTGGTAATTGACTTGATTCTACACTAATACTGGTGCTGGGTGATCTCTGTTGCGTTTTTACTTGCACACCTGTCTTATTCGTACTGTAGAGGCTTAGGGATCATTCTTTTGAATGACTGCATTCATTAAGTTCACTTTGGCTCCCAGGTAGCCTGTATGTGTTTTATCTTACCCTTCTGCTAATGCCACCCCTTGCCAATATGTATTTTCTTTTATTCCAATAACACATGTAATGGCATTGGTTTGTTTGAGTGCTAATAATTATATGCTTCCCTTTGTGTATATTTAGATCTAGATCTGTGCAGACATAAGTCCTTGTTTTTGATAAACACATTTGTGTTTTACTTGAAATGGTAGTTTCAATTCTACTATATTCCCCGATAAATTCAGATTAGCAAAGTTCATTTCTACTCTTGGTGCTGCCCATAAAGTGACTCCAAACTCATTTGTACTGGTGGTCCCCCAAATGGTACAATAGTGAACTAGTTGTAAAGAATGACCCACGCCTGACCAGTATTGCCTATAATAATCCAATATGGCTCACCACACACAGAATCTTTTTAGGCTGTTTTAACCCCTGATTTCTTGCACAAAATACCAGTGACTGTATGCACACGATATGGCTATATTGTGTAAAGTCCACAATTTTTTACAGAGTACCCCAATATATTGGCTCCAAGCGTGCATTGTTAAAGTGTAACGTAATATTGCGGTACACAGAGAATGTGTTATTTAATAGTGTTTTTTTTGACAGAGTGAAATTATGACATTCTTTTAAAGCATTTTTTTCATACTCTTTCAAGACTATTTTACAAATGCTGATCCTGTGTACAAATAATAGAAATTTAATCAAACTGTATGTTTATATTGTTTTTTTTTCACGGTGAATTGTTTCTTCCTAAAATATGTGTTATAGGCTTGCACTTACAATGCAAACAAATTAGATACTCACAAGCAGCACTTAATTTGGGGTATTGTACAAACCAAGCTGCAGTTTAAAATAACAACTAACTAATCTTAATTAACCCCTTAAGGACACAACAACTTCTGGAATAAAAGGGAATCATGACGGAATATTCCCATCATGTGTCCTTAAGGGGTTAAATCACCTGTGGCTGGATGAAAATATTCTCTATCACCTAAATTAACCAAAGGGGAAGGTTGATTAAATAATATAAATATATATATCTTTTAGTAATTCTCATTTTTTTTTTATTTCATTTTTTTTTCCTCCTTATTTTCAATTTAGTTATTGCAATGTCAAAATAAGCTCTAAATTCAGTAGGAAATGATGTAAAATAATGCATCACATTTGACATTTATTTTTGTACTAGTTTATTTTTATTGTGATTTTTATTTTTATTTTTTTATATTCTCTAGTTAGGGTTGATTTTTTTTCTCCATTTTGAATTGTATTATTCTTAATAAAATTTACTTCCTCAATGAAACGTGGATTAGTATTCCTACTGTTACAAAACACATGCTGGAAGTACAAGGAGTCTAAGGTTTTTCATTATTGATTGCCTCACCATTTAATTGGTAACCGCTATGGTACTCCTATTTATCACTATAAGGTCTTAGAACATAGAATGTAGCAGGGCTGACTGTGCAGATATCTCTAGTTATAATATTATATCGTTGGTAAGAGTTTCTGTTAGTTTGGACTAAATTTTAAGGATAAAAGGCCCTGACTTGGTGTCACACTAACCTAGGACAAGATGGTGACTCAAAGTTTAAATATCATATATACTAACTCTTGGTAAGAGGTCATTGGATGAGAATCAATATGTTCCATATCTTGTCACTTTACAAAATATATGAAAGACAAAGTTCACAGTTTTTCATTCTTGAACCCTGTAATATTTGCTTATAAAAATAACTAACAAAGTTTAGTTATTTATTGTATTTGCATTCATATCAATGTCTAGCTAGGATTGCCTGGCCAATAATTGTTAGGTTTATATTGCATTGTTCAACACAAGGAAGCCATGGCTGAGCATTGTCAGTACTGGACCACAAGCATAAATAGTGCATTTGGAAGGTTGAGATGGATATTTGTGTTACATGACTTAGTGGAGAAGTGTTCAAAAACAAGGGAATAAAGTAACTGAAAGAGGGAAGTAGGGTAGAGACTATATATATATGAGCCGTATGACTGTAAAACGGCCATTTTGTCTGACTGGCTTTTTTGGCTTAACCAAGAATACTGGGATCAGTTATGTAAATAAGCTATGTCTTGGTGGTATGAATAAGCGATAGGAGTTAGAGGGCTAGATTAGACATCAGTTCATAACCTTATAGGAACACTGTTATGGTAGAAATAAATATATTTATATTTTTTGTTGGAGGGGTCCTTTTTAGTTAAAATACAGGCTACCACTTCACAATTTGAAACACAGGAAAGCACCATCCTTCCTGCCAGTGTTTAACTGTTTTTGAATTATAAAGTTTTGTTCAGGTTATCTTACCCTGTGAGTCATGGTCTCTTGCCTGATATTTTCACGTTAAGGATTTGACTGTGAGCCTGAGGATTGATTTAAACACTGCCCAAAACACTTCAGAGGACAGATGACAGCCCAGGAAAGTTGCATTTCAATGAGTGAGTACCTGATCGGGTGCTGCAGTTCAATTGCTGGTTGTTACTATATATTAGGCATGTGCATAGACAAAAACTTTGATTCGGTTCGACACTTCCGAAATTCGACACTTTAAGAATTCAGGACTTTTGCAATTCCCTAGCCCTAACCCTACTAGGTTAGGGGTAGGGTTAGGGTTAGTTTCCTGCCATCATACCCTTACTTTTCCCTCCCTCTCCTGTTTTGCAACTTTTCAGAAATCCAAAGCACTTTGGGACTTCCGAAATTCGGACATTCAGAAACATCCGAATTGCCGAAATTCGTCCAAATTAACATTCGGACCGAAATGAATTGAACATGTCTACAATATATGCCTTCTTCTCTGATGCAATGTAACAGGAGCTAATTATTATTGCTATTGGCATTTATATAGCACCAACAAATTTACAATATTATTAAGAGGACTTTAACAACAAATGAGATGACATAATACAGATTTTGACAGGACAATAAGCTGATAAGAACCTGCTTAAATTAACTTACAATCTAGAGGAGAGGAATAAAAACACAATAGGAATGACAGTGTGAGGACTACGAACCAAGTGACAGGGTGGATCGCTAGCAGAATTGGAAGCTGAGAGTGATGACCGTTACAGTAAAGACAGTTTGAAAGTGTTAAACATTAAATACATGACTACTGTAAATGGGAAGCTTATTCTTGAAAAAGTGTAGTTAAACGTCAGCTTAAAAATTTACCTATTGCCAACCATCAATGAGATAACCTTTTGAAGTCGCTAACAGAAATACATGATGTTGGTTGCTGAATAAGCAATATCGTGTTTAGCTTTTTGCTGTAACTTCTGTCCATAAATATGTGCAGCTTATAGGAACACTGTTATGGTAGAAATAAATATATTTATATTTTTTGTTGGAGGGGTCCTTTTTAGTTAAAATACAGGCTACCACTTCACAATTTGAAACACAGGAAAGCACCATCCTTCCTGCCAGTGTTTAACTGTTTTTGAATTATAAAGTTTTGTTCAGGTTATCTTACCCTGTGAGTCATGGTCTCTTGCCTGATATTTTCACGTTAAGGATTTGACTGTGAGCCTGAGGATTGATTTAAACACTGCCCAAAACACTTCAGAGGACAGATGACAGCCCAGGAAAGTTGCATTTCAATGAGTGAGTACCTGATCGGGTGCTGCAGTTCAATTGCTGGTTGTTACTATATATTAGGCATGTGCATAGACAAAAACTTTGATTCGGTTCGACACTTCCGAAATTCGACACTTTAAGAATTCAGGACTTTTGCAATTCCCTAGCCCTAACCCTACTAGGTTAGGGGTAGGGTTAGGGTTAGTTTCCTGCCATCATACCCTTACTTTTCCCTCCCTCTCCTGTTTTGCAACTTTTCAGAAATCCAAAGCACTTTGGGACTTCCGAAATTCGGACATTCAGAAACATCCGAATTGCCGAAATTCGTCCAAATTAACATTCGGACCGAAATGAATTGAACATGTCTACAATATATGCCTTCTTCTCTGATGCAATGTAACAGGAGCTAATTATTATTGCTATTGGCATTTATATAGCACCAACAAATTTACAATATTATTAAGAGGACTTTAACAACAAATGAGATGACATAATACAGATTTTGACAGGACAATAAGCTGATAAGAACCTGCTTAAATTAACTTACAATCTAGAGGAGAGGAATAAAAACACAATAGGAATGACAGTGTGAGGACTACGAACCAAGTGACAGGGTGGATCGCTAGCAGAATTGGAAGCTGAGAGTGATGACCGTTACAGTAAAGACAGTTTGAAAGTGTTAAACATTAAATACATGACTACTGTAAATGGGAAGCTTATTCTTGAAAAAGTGTAGTTAAACGTCAGCTTAAAAATTTACCTATTGCCGACCATCAATGAGATAACCTTTTGAAGTCGCTAACAGAAATACATGATGTTGGTTGCTGAATAAGCAATATCGTGTTTAGCTTTTTGCTGTAACTTCTGTCCATAAATATGTGCAGCTGTCTCAAATTAAATTGTGGTCGTCTTGAACTTACATACGGTGTTGCATACTGATTCAGTGAAAGATAACCACCCGTAGCATGGATGGACCTACATTTCTAGTATCTGCTACAGGAAGAAAAGTTAACCCCCAACAATCTCATGGCAGCGGTGGAATATCCACAGAGCGGTGAGTAGACAAGTGTTTTTATTTATTTCTGCTTACCCCTTTCAGGAGATCCCTTAAGTAACTGTGGGTGGGTTGGGTTAGACCCAGGGTTTAAGACCTAGGGGAACCCATTAGTTATTGAAAGGTTTGAGTTCTTTCCATTTGTAAAACATTTTAAAAAAAAATCTGTGCACCCACTGGAGGAGATTAGGTATTATTAATGATGAGTTTTCTTTTCATATTTTGTAGAAGTATAAGTTTTGTTATTATGGTGTAACCACAGCTGGTTCCCTTATTTATCACTAAAACGTCTTGAAGCATAGAACTTAGCAGGGCTAACCATACAGATATATTTTTTTAATACAGATATAATTTTATATAGTTAGTGTAAGAGATCCTCTATTTAACATATATAAATAATTGAGAATACAATATAAAATAAGGATTGTCTTGGAAACAATAAAGTTTTGTCTTTTAGATATTTTATTAACTAAATAAATATTGACATATAAAATCCATTACAATAATTTATAGCAGAGTTTATAAGATTAAACTAGATGCTTGCAAATATCATTTTAAATAGAATAACATACCCTCTTTAACATGTTAACATCTCTCAGTCATTATAATATGGAGCATCAGCTCAGGAGTAGCTGTATTAGAGGAAGTTGTTACTTCTAACAGCCGAGCTAACAGCCCCCCTAGTACGGGTGGGGATCAAAACGTAAGGAAGGCAAGACAGGTTGTGGTGGTAGGGGACTCTATCATTAGGAGAGCAGATAGGGCAATCTGCCGCTCTGATCGGCTCAACCGGACAGTTTGCTGTCTCCCGGGTGCTCGGGTCCGGCATGTTGCTGACAGAGTGGATGGATTATTGGGAGGGGCTGGGGATGACCCAGCGGTCATGGTCCATGTTGGTACCAATGACAAAGTAAGAGGAAGATGGAAGGTCCTAAAGAATGATTTCAGGGAATTAGGTAGCAAACTTAAGAAAAGGACCTCCAAGGTGGTATTCTCTGAGGTATTACCTGTGCCACGCGCTACAGTGGAAAAGCAGCGGGAGATTAGAGAGGTCAATGCGTGGCTTAAGTCTTGGTGCAGGAAGGAGGGTTTTGGGTTTTTAGAGCACTGGGCCGACTTTGCGATTGGGTACAACCTTTATAGTGGTGATGGATTGCACCTAAACAGGAGAGGGTCTGCAGTGCTGGGGGATAGGATGGCTAGAAGGTTGGAGGAGATTTTAAACTAGTAGTAGGGGGGGAGGGTCATAGCAATCTACAAAATGGAGATAGGACAGAAAGGAGATGGGCTTTAGCACAGTATAAGGGGGGTGGAAACGGGGGGAGGGGCAAGCTCAGAACAGAGAAGCTGTGCAATGTTGAAAATTCACAA